GCTCTATCCACTGAGCCAAACCGGTTAGGGCGGTTAATGTGACCTTTTAAAGCTCATAGGGTACGATTTTACTCCACTACGGGGCACCCCCTGCCCCTCCGTCCAGCCTGCTATGCTCTCGGCGCTGGGAGCAGCTCTCCAGCAGGAACACGTGGGCTGCCCTTTCCACAGAGCCGTCGACCCGCGGGCCCAGACAACCAAGCATCTGTGGGACCTATTGTCACAAGGCGGGCAGGGCCAACGTGAGGCCGGCCTCCCCCACAAAGAGGCTCTGGCTGGCCCGGCACTGGGCCCGGCAGCAACTGGAGGCTCACTCCTGCCACTGCCCCACTGGGCGCCTGGCAGGCGGCGTCTGCCCTGCAAAGGGGCTGCAGGGGGGGACCTGCCATGAGGCCCCTCTTCCCTCTGCCCACCTCCTCCTCCTCCTCCACCTCCATCTCAGCCTCCACCTCCTCCTACGCCTCCTCCCCAGCCTCCACCTCCGCCTCCACCTCCGCCTCCTCCCCAGAACTCTGCCGACCACCCAGGGCAGAACCTCTCCGTGGGCTCGGGACAGAGTGTGTCTGCTTTGCCTTCTGCTCTGTCCACGGAGCCTGTGGCTTCTCTCCTGAGAGACGTGCTCCGGGAGCTGGCATCCCACAGCCGAGCCACGGCACGCTGCGCAGAGAAAGCCTCTGCAGAGTCCAGCACAGCCCAGGACCCTGTCCGCAGGCCACAGCCACGCCCCCGCGCAGCACCAGTGCCGTGTGGATAGGGTGTGGTTGGGGCTGTTTGCCGGGCTTTGTGGAATGTGTGCCCCCGCGGGGTCTGGGCCACAGATGGGCCAAATCCGTGAGCAAGACCAACAGGAGGTGCTGGATGGGGGATGCACGGTCACTTTCTTTTCCATCTCATGTTCCCCTCTATCTGAGGCTCCGTTTCCTAGTTACACAGCAATCAGTCGATGTTCTCGGAACTCCAGTGTCTCCGGGATTCCCGGGGCCTCGGCGAGTCCTCGCCCACCCAGAGCAGAGAGAACCGCTGGCCCGAGAGAAACGTGGCAGCGTCTCCGGGACTCGCCAACGCCGCGCTGCCAGCAGTCCTTTCTCACGTGGCGGAGGGCGCTAAGCCCAAGGTCCCCCTGGAAGATTGAGGTCGTCCTGGGCACAGATGGACCCGGGGCCTCCCAGCCGGGCAGGGCGTGGACGTGGAGGAACCAAAAGGGCCCCAGCTGCTCTGAACTTCAAACCTCACTCGAGAAATCGGTCCTGGGAGCCTTAAACCCTTGAAGAAAGGGACAAAGCAACCCGGGCATTTCCAGGTTTCTGCAGTTCATTGTGCTACTTGGGGGAGGCGCTGGCAGGGCCGCACTCGGGCTCCCATGGGACCCGGGTACCGTTCCCTTCCAGGCCCTTCGTCCACACAGAATGTCCGAGTCCCCTTTCCCACTGTGTGGCCGTACAGGTGAACAGAGTACACGTTAAACCATTTTCTTCTACCGAAAAGGTCTTTGCTATTCTTTCTCTCGGTTTTAAAAGAAAATAAACATGTCAAGCGTTCCCAAAGTCTCCTGGCCCCTGCACTGCGCCTCCTGGGCCTGATGGAGTCGGAGATGCCGGCCCCGGCTTTAGGGGGGACAAAACCGCACCTCCATGGCCCCTGGCGACCAGTGGGCAGCCAGCAGCTGCTCACGGGAGAGGCGAGGTTGCTCTGCACCTTGACAAAAGGCTGCCCTCCGTCCGCATGGACTGGGACGCCTGTGCAGGTGCTACTGCCTGTCTGAAAATTTTCCTCCTTCTTACTCCGGCTTCGGCCAGCCCAAGGCGCCGGAGGCTGCCCGGAGGGCGTGTGCGTGTGCGTGTTCTTATCCAAGGAGCTGCCAAGGAGCCCGGGGGTGGAGCCGGGTGATGGAGAGAAGAATGCAGGGGCTGAAGGGCTGCAAGCAGCACCGCCTGGACCCCAGGATCTGTGCTGCTGGAACCGGGGTGCCAGGCTGGGTGGGCTGTCCTGGGGGGAGTGCATCCCAGCAGGTGGGGAGGGACGGGGTTTCCTAGAAGCTGGGACATTTTATCTGGGAAAACGGAGGATGTGGACAGGGACGCCTGTGCAGGTGCCACTGCCCGTCTGAAAACATTTCCCTTCTTCTTACTCCGGCTTCGGCCAGTCCAAGGCGCCGGAGGCTGCCCGGAGGGCATGTGCGTGTGCGTGTGCGTGTGCATGTGCATGTGCGTGTTCGTGTTCTTATCCAAGGAGCTGCCAAGGAGCTGGGGTGTGGACCTGGGTGATGGAGAGAAGGATGCAGGGGCTGAAGGGCTGCAAGCAGCACCGCCTGGACCCCAGGATCTGTGCTGCTGGAACCGGGGTGCCAGGCTGGGTGGGCTGTCCTGGGGGGAGTGCATCCCAGCAGGTGGGGAGGGACGGGGTTTCCTAGAAGCTGGGACATTTTATCTGGGAAAACGGAGGATGTGATCAGAAGACGGGAAGTGAGACTGGCGAGGGGTTGCTCGGGAAGAACTGGGGGTGCGTGGGACTGGGCACGGAGGGGTGGATCAGAGCAGAACTCCCTTCAGACCGTGGAAGAGTGGGGAGCAGTGTGTCGGCGTTCCATGGCACGTTTCTTCCTGCGTGGTCATTCCCTCTCGTTTCCCCTGGGAAAAGCTGGGAGCCCACCCCTCCCTGGCCTCAGCCCCCTGCGGAGGGTGGAGGGGCCGCGGCTGCCCCCGGAGCATCCTCAGAGCCCAACAGTGAAGGTGCAGGCTCATTACAGAGCCCAGCGTGGTGAGGTGGGGTGGCACTGCCTCGTCTCCCCACTGCTGCTCACAGTTCCTCAGGGCCGGCCGCCAGGGTGCAGGCGAAGCGACTCTGGCCTTGTCCAGCTCTGCATCCTCCCAGCTGTGATGTCATGGGGATAAGCACCCCGGGTGGGAGGGTGGGGCTCCCGAGAACAGGACGTGTTAGTGCCCTTCTCCTGAGCGAACCATGGGAACAGGCGGCCGGCACGCCGTGGCCAATCCTGGCAGCGAGGGTGCTCCCCCCAAGTGTGCACGGATTCCCGTGGGAAAACACAAGAGGGTGGCGTCCATGGAGACACACTGTCCTGCTACAATCAAGACGGATCTAACACCAAACACTACCCTACGAGGGACTGCTAGAGTCCACGGTGCTGTCCTGGCAGAAGTTCCTGGCGCCCTCAGCAAGCGTCCCCTGCACCGCGTCTCGCTCCTGCGGCCCCCACGCTGTCCCCTAAGCCTCTGCGGCCCGAGATGGCTAACAAGCTGATGCGATTCCGTCACCATCAGCACCGAGGTGGATCCAGGTGTAAACCCCGCTCTCGAGGGAGAAGCGTGTGCTTGGCTTCGGTGATGTAACTCGAGATGGCCGGGTTGTTTGTGCGTGTGCAGCCCGGCCTGTGAGCACTCGGCCTGTGAGCGCTCAGCCTGGCTGTGCGCACCACACACCACGTGGGCCCCATAAAAAGCAGCCCGCCTGGCCCTCTGCCCGGCCAGCTGACAGCACGGGACTCCAGGCCTCCTGACTGTGTGGGGCTGACCCGGAGTCCTGGGGCCTGCTTTCCTCTACTAACGCTGTGTTCCCTCGGCCAGTACCCACGCGGCTAATGATGAAGAACCTGCAGAAATACATTAGTCTCCAAGCAGACCCAGTCCTCCGGGCACGTGAGCGGGCACTGGCTTCCACCGCGGGTCCCGCTGCCAGGGAACACAGGCAGCACCCTGTCTGAATGAGTGAGAAGTCCCCGCGATGGATACCCTGCATGGCACTGCGCTCCGATGGCCACCCAGCCAAGTCCTGTGCCCAGGGGATGGCCTCCCGGATCTGCCCCAATAAGGAGCTAAGAGCGCTGGCGAGATGACACACTACCGCTGTCCTTTTAACGGAGGAAGCGCCCGGGGACCCGCCTCCTGGCAGAAGCTTCGTTGCCAGAAGTAGGAAGAGTGCCCTCGCCAGGGGTTCATTCCCTCCGCTCCAGCCTGGGGGCCCCGCCTCCTTCCTCCCGCCCTCAGGGCACGTGGACATCCACACTCCTTTCTGGGGGCCATGTGATTGCCCGTGAAGGGCTGGCTTCACACAGCCACCCCTCGGCCACCTGCCCCGCCTCATCACTTCAGCTCAGATGAGGATTCCTCCCGCCAGGTGGGGCCAGGGCAGAAGGGAGAGGCCGTTCTCTTCGGCAGACACGCCACCCGGACTCAGCGCCCCAGGCATGAACCGGCCCAGCGCCCTCTTCACCCAGACGTTAACCCAGACGGCGTGCGAAGACGCCACTGCGCTGCTGCCTGAACCAGCACGTGGAACTGCGGACGGCAGGCCCCGGCTGCTCCCAGCGGGGCTCCGGCGCTGTCTGGGGACACCTGGCAGAGGCAGGTGGCGGAGGAGGTCTCTCCTTCCGAGGTCTCTCACCACTCGAGCGCCTGTGACTTCCCGGCGGTAAACCCCAGCGCATCAAGGCCGTGTGGGTCTCCTACCTTAACAAGGCGGCGCTGGTGACATTGCCGGGGACCCTGCCGGGCCAGTACGCCAACGCCGGGACTCGGTGCCCTCCTTCCCAGGTGGTCTGCTTGGCTGGACTGCCCCCTGGAAAGGAGGGGGGGGGACAGTTGGTGCTTTGACAGGGGGCTCCGGTCTCTCCATCTCACAGCCGCCCTCTGGGACAACAGTCCCTCCTAAGGGGACCCGCCAGGAGCCTCTGAGAATCACAATAGTAACCAGCTATTTTTTTAAAAATAATATATATATTTTTAATCCTCACCCAAGGACATTTTCCCATTGATTTTTAGGGAGAGTGGAAGAGAGAGGGAAAGACAGAGAGAAACATTGATGTGAGAGAAACACATCAATGGGTTACTTCCTGCACGAGCTCTGACCAGGGCCCAGGCTGGGGAGGAGCCTGCAACTGAGGTACATGCCCTTGACCAGAATCAAACCCGGGACCCTTCAGTCCACAGGCTGACACTCTATCCACTGAGCCAAACTGGCCAGGGCATAACCAGCTATTTTTATGCAGGTGGTTAATATCTTTCAATGCGTGCTTTTATTTTACTGGACTCAACATGCGTAAGGAGTTGCCTCAGTCCCTCCCTATTGAGTCAGGTCACTTTATTTCCTTCACGACACCTTTCATGCTTCACGTCATCTGGTTACTGGCTTGCTTATCCTGTGAATCCACACCACGAGATTTCATGTCTCCTGGGCCCAAGACACAGTACTTAACGAATATCCATTAAAGTAAGTGCATTTGTCTTTCTGCTGATTATAATGTGATCGTTTAGGATGAAAAAAATACAATTGGCCCGGCCACAGCGCCTCAGTGATTGAACGTCGACCTATGAACCAGGAGGTCAAGGTTCGATTGCTGGTCAGGGCACATGCCCGGGTTGCGGGCTCGATCCCCAGTGGGGGGGCATGCAGGAGGCAGCCGATCAGTGATTCTCATCATTGATGTTTCTATTTCTCTCTCCCTCTCCCTTCCTCTCTGAAATCAATTAAAAAATGTATTTTAATAAATACAATTGTTTGAAAAGAGAGAAAAAGCAGAACATTCCCCAGCTATTTGAGCTGCCCAACGCCCAGCGACGGGTCTGGCACGGGTTTTACTGTTGTCTTTTGCTTTGCTTTGTTTTTCCTTGAATTCATGAGTTGTTCTGATGTCGTGGAGACGGCATTAGTAACAGCTCCGACCTCTTGCCTCCCAGGAGGAGGCAAGGACAATCCCTGTGCAATCTATGAATTTACACTTTGGAAATGAAAGGAATTCTTTTTGTATCCGCCAAGGTCAAAGTGACCACCAGTTTAATGATGACCGGCGGGCTGGAAGAGATGAGGTCATGTTTGATGGAAACATCCTGAATACATGTTGCCTGGAGCTAACCATGACCTCCCCACTCCCACACACACCCCACCCGCATCCTGGCTGAGCCAGGGATTCCACAACGTTCGCGTGTGGAAGGCCCTGCCAAAGCAGACGTGTGTGGCTCCCACGGACCGTGGTCAGGCAACGCCCCCGCCCGGCTGGCGTGAATGTGAGAGCGATGGCGACGGGAAGGCGGGGCAACAAGACCGAGCGTCTGCCCCGCTGCACTCACAGCGGACCGTTGAGGCCCAGGTCCTGGCCCGGCACGCCACGCCAGAGATGCTTGGCGTTCTTGAGCCTTTCTCATAACCCGCTTTCGAGCCCCCCAAGTGTTAAAGTGACCATCAAAACACAGAACATCTCCCCTCCTGTGGACTGTCCATGTTTAGGGGTGTGGGGCTCTCAAAACCAAGTGGCGTTGTGCAGGCTGAATGGGAAGCCCTCTGGCCTGGCCCAAAAGGTCTCAAACACAGTCTTCCCACGAGAGGCACATCTCCCACAAATACACACAGAGCCCACTCCCAATGACTGGTGCACACGGACAAGAGAGTCCAGAGCCACAGGAAGCATGGAACGCACTCCCACGCGGCTGCGGGTGCATGACCGACTGGTGCACACGGACGAGAGAGTCCACAGGAAGCATGGAACGCACTCCCACGCGGCTGCGGGTGCATGACATACACCCCAGCTTAAGGTCAAAGAGCAGGCAGGCGGGGAGTGTCCACGCGTGCACGTGCAGGGCTCTGCAGAGAATTCCACGCCCTCGAGGGGAATTTATGTGGAAGCCGGCGGGGCGGGCAGGTGGGTGGAACATGGAACCTGTTTATTTGCATGTCTATGGTGCACAAGTTTCGGACAGGTCTGCTTAGCCTTGGAGGCCAGATGCTAAGGAAGGCGAAGGCTTTAGTTCCCAGAAATAAGCCGACAGTGCAGACAGCCAACCAGAAGGCAGGATAGAGGGCTGTGCATGGCAGGTGAGGGCCCCCCCCCCCCGGGTCACCCAGGAGCTGGCCTCCGCCTCCGGGATGTTTCTAGGATGGTGCACCAGCCCCTAATTAACAAACCTGCTAATGGGCCTCCACCACTAGGGAGTCCGCTTGTTTGCCACAAGCTTCTGTGTTGCTGTTTTCAGGCAAGGGATGTCCCCAAGTTGTTTTTCAGAGGAGAATATTTCTGTTTGCCTTATTTCAGCAGCGGGCTGGAAGCTGGAGGGGCTGCAAGGAACTCAGTCAGTTATAAGGTGTGTATGTGCCAACCCAGTGCAGAGTCCACAGGCAAAGGCTCAGAACTACGAGGAAGCGAGAAGAGGGCTGGCGGGGCGCAGCCCCTCGGCGCATCCACTGGAGGGTCCACCCCGCTCTACGTCTGCTGCACCCTGGGTTCTGGCTTTAACCGAGAGACGCGGTTCAAAATCCCAGCCACGCCCAGAGACCTGCACTCGAAAGCAATCTCTCTGAAAAGCATCCAGGGTGTGCGTGAGCAATTATAAAAGTGTACATCCCACACGCCGTGGACACCCTCTTACTCTGAACCCCGGCATCCATGGCACTGGGGTGGACAGACTTAAAAAATCCAACTAGCGTTTTCCATGGGTCCCCAGGGCTGTGGAGTCTGATTATCAGAATAGCGTTGCTTGTTGTGATTTACCTGCACCAGCAGAGGTGAATCCCAGGAGAGCTGCCTCCGGTCCCCTCCCACCCTACTCTCCAGTGATACGTGCTCCTACTAATGGAACCTCATTTCCAGTTAAACAACAGTAACACTACCATCTCCTGTCTACGGAGCCCTGCCTGCGCACGGAGTTAAGCACCCCTGAGCGCAATGCGGAGAGCTTCCCTGCGTGAACTCATTTAATCCTTTTGATAACCTTGAGAGCCAGGTGCTTCCTATACCCATTTTTCAGATGAAGAAACTGAAGCTCAGAGAGGTTAAGCAATTTGCCCAAGGTCACACAGCTGGCAAATGCGAGAGCCAGGATTTGAGTCCAGGTCTAACTAGACAGCCAACACTCTCAGCCATTAAATCTTCTAGGACGGCGTACCCACTCATCCCTGAATGCGTAGTAGACTCACTAGGGGAGCATTAAAAAATACCCACACCGAGGACCCTTTCCCAGAAACCGTGATTTAATTGGCCCGGGATGCGCTCCTGGTGAAGAGCGTCCATTCCAGAAGTAGGAGGGCTGGGACACGATCAGAAAGTGGACACAATGCGCTTGAAAATTAAATGTAGCCTCGTGCGTTTAATCACAGGGTTTTATATTGCCCACACCTCTATACCTTTAAGACACAGGATCATGAATATGAACCTGTACGTTATAATAACAGGTAAGTCCGTAGATTAAATGTCTATGAACTTTCTGATTCCAAAAGCCACTTCTCGGCGTGGAGGAGCCCTCAGCCCCTGGCCGTGGCACGCACAGGAGAAGTGTTGGTCGCGTGTGGCTTTCTGTTGAGAAAAGCATGTCCCACGGTCGTGAGAACGCGTTGCAATGCGCTTGCGGTTAGTTATGACTCTAATTAAGGCAGAACCTCTTACTTAAAGCAATAACTATTTAGCCTCAGCAACCAAAGCATAAACAGAACCATGATTCATGGATTTGCTTCCTTGTTCTTCCCTGGCGACGGAAGTGACGTGCCTTCCCTCCTGCGTGGAGGCAGGGCCGGCCACCGGGCTGCCTCGGCCCACGCTTAGGAATAGCAGTCTCTCCGGAAGGGACACTGTGCCACGCCGCCCCGTGTCAGAAAGACAGCGCACGCCACTTCCCATAGAGGAGAACCCCGGGAGGCCCTAGCGGAGGGAGACCCTGGCTGACTAAGTCCAGGGGGGGCTCGGGTTCAGGTGACTCCGATGCCGGTGGTCTGAGGGCCAGCGTTTGAGGAATGTTAGCAAGGTGAGTGGGAGGCACCTTGGGCACCAGCAGACCTAAGGTCTGGCTCCAGGGCCACCCTGCTTGTTGGGTGGCCTGAGGCAGAACTCTGAACACCCCCGTCCGACTCCGTCTCCCCAGCCAGGAAGGGCAAACAGGATGGTATTTATCTCCTGGGGCTGGGCGGAAAGCTACGTAAGTGAATGTATATGAAATTCGAAGCAAGAACCTTTGGCATAGTGCCTGCCATGGAAGTGCCCCCAAAAATCGAAAAATTGCCCGGCCAGAGTGGCTCAGGGGTTGAGCGTTGACCTATGAACCACGATGTCATGGTTTGATTCCTGGTCAGGGCACATGCCCGGGCTGCGGCCTCAATCCCCAGTAGGGGTCCTGCAGGAGGCAGCCGATCCATGATTATCTCACATGATTGATGTTTCTTTCTCTTTCTCTCCCTTCCTCTCTGAAATCAATAAAAATATATTTAAAAAAATAACAAACAACTGAAAAATTACCTACAGATAAGAATGGCAGAAGTTGCTACCTGACGGCTCACGCGCTGAACCGAGCCCTCTGACGCGTGGTTTGGCAAGGATGGTTTTGTTTTATTCAAACTAATTTTGTATGTCTTTGGACAGGACCCAGTCTCCAGGGTCCTGAATCCCTGACCGGCCCACGCCGATGACACGGACACGTGTCCATTCGGATCCCCTGCCTGGCCCGCAAAGGCCTCTGAATCTGTGGCTTGGGCAGAGAACACGCCTGTGCTGAGGAGCGCACGTCCTGCAGCCTCTGAACAGCCGGCTTCCTTCCTAAATAGAAACACACGCGTGCCCTTGCCAAGGGTGCCGGAGCCGACGGGCTTTCCAGAACCAAAGGGCAGCCAGGCCTCCGTGGGGACCGAGGATGCTGGCTGGCCGGGTGGCCTGAAGTGTGACAATGGGGGCGTTTCAAGCCTGGTGGCCAAAGGCCTGGGGGACACACAATTCCACCTCCCTGTCCCCGACCAGGGCCAGCAGCCACCCCCTGTCCAGGGCACCCTCACCAAGCCCACCTCTGACCTTTCGCCACTCCTCCCCCTCCCAGGAAGGCCCCGATGCAGAGATGCAGAGCCCGAGTCCCAGTGGGAAAGGTTATGCAACCACCTGATAGCATCAGATTACAAACAACCAAGGTCTCTTCGAGGCTGAGGATGCCAAATTCAACAGAATGTTTCCCCATCACCCAGGGGGAGGAAGGAACAGTCCTGCTCTTCAAATAAAACAACAAAAAAGGGTTTCCAGACAGAGGAGCCGTCTGTCAGCGGACAAACAAGGCGCTGGCTCTGTCCCGGCGGGAACGGGTCTGCTGTGGGGAGAGGGGCAGCTGCTCTGGGCCAGGCCCGGGCCGGGGCGTGCGCTTGGGGTCAGCAGTGGGCAGGCACCTCACATCCCCTTTGTTTGGGAGAAGGCAGGGCCACTTGGGGTTGCCTCCTGCCCCCGCCCCCCTCCCCCCAGTTCGGTTTCTCCTCACCCCTGCAGGCACAAGCCAAGCCCAGGGGAGCACCCTCACTCCTGCACGGGGTGAAGCTGTGCCTCCAGGAGACACTGCCTCATCCCAGCAGCTGAGCAGGGCGGCGCGGCCAGGAAAGGGAAGGGAAGACAGGAGGGGGCCGGGGCCTGCGAGCAGGAGAAGGCCGCGTGTGGCCTGACGCCGCAGGCCGGCGACAGAGCGGGAAGAGCAGGGCTCTGGGTACCGTTGCAAAAACACTGTCTTCTCTTTCATCTGCTCTTGAGACCGGCCCCCTTACAGCAGGATGTGCAGGCATCCCACTGACGAGGAACAGGTGGTCTAGAGGGACCCCAGCTCCCCTCCTGACCTGAGCCCTGGCTACACCCTTCCACACAGGGCTCTGCCTGGCTTCCCAGAGCCCCCAGCAGCTTCCTGGGCAGGAGGAGGAGCAAGGCTGTGGAATAGCTGACAGAAGCTGGTTTGGGGAACGAAGATGACGACGTATTTAGCCCTAGGCCAAGTTGGCCTTCAGGATCTCCTGAGAAAAGAAGAAAATGGATCTGGCCCAGCCCCACCACGAATCCAGGGGCTGGGCCTGCCACTCAGATACCACATCAGGCCACCCAAAGCCCCCTCCCTCACAAATCCCTGGCTGTCTCCTACTCATTCTTTAAAACTAACCACTCAGGAAAGCCTTCCTGTCACCCGCCCAGTGGACGAGAGGTCCTTGAGCTTCCTGCTATCATGGCGTTCTTACCCTGCAGCAGAATGACCTGCTGATGTGTTCGCTCCCATTCTGTCCAATAGAAGTCTTTGCCATCATGCAAATGTTTTCTATTTGCACCATCCAATAGGGTAGCCGCCCACCACACGTGGCTTCTGAGCCCTTGAAGTGTGGCTAAAGTGAGCAAGGAACTGAATTCGAATTCAATAGTCATGTGTGGCTACTGCCACAGATTTCTGGGCCCCGACCCCAGAGTTCCTGATTCAGCAGGTCTGGGCGGGGGGCCTAGAACCTTCATTGCTAACAAGTCCTCAGATGGCGCTAATGCCACTGGTCCCAAGACCACGCCTCAGCAACATCTGGTTGACATCTGGAAGTTCAAGACGTGGATGACTCTAGAATCAAGATGGTCTGGATGTGGATATTCTAGGTTGGTGGTTCTCCAAGTGGGGTCCCAGGTGTTTCTTGGAAATGTAGCATCTCCATCACCATCCCAGACCCACCGAGTCAGAACTTCACCATCCCTTCAAGCCAGGGCCTTTGATGACCTCTGTCCCCAGCACTGAGTTCTGGGCCCACAGTAGGTGCTCAACTAAAGGAAGGCAAAGAGCGAAGTAGGTTGCCCAGCTAGTAAATGTGTTTCTCCTAAGGCAGTGGTCGGCAAACCGTGGCTCGCGAGCCACATGCGGCTCTTTGGCCCCTTGAGTGTGGCTCTTCCACAAAATACCACGTGCGGGCGCGCACGTACAGTGCGATTGAAACTTCGTGGCCCATGCGCAGAAGTCGGTTTTCGGAAAGGAGATAGACGAAACAAGTATACAAGACGAGTGTGGATGGGAGAGTTGGAAGGGGTTGACCTCAGCGAACGTACCTCAATCAGATTGAGGACGTTTTTAGCAAAGGCCAGCTTAGGAGTACCCTAATTAAGTTAATAACAATGTACCTACCTATATAGTTTAAGTTTAAAAAATTTGGCTCTCAAAAGAAATTTCAATCGTTGTACTGTTGATATTTGGCTCTGTTGACTAATGAGTTTGCCGACCACTGACCTAAGGCAAGGTGCTTCCCTCGGAGAATGGGCCCCTGTCCACACCCGCAGCTGGAATCCCTCTTTCAAAACTGCCTCCCGGGCGGGGGGAGGGGGGAGAGACAAGATGAGGCAGGTCCACAGGCAGGAGACCAGAGGTCAGCTCTGGGGGAACAGAGAGCTCCCCACAGAGGAGCCACTCACCAACAGACCCTTTCCCCCCTCATCCTTGGTTTCTATGCCTTCTGGATTTTCACCCTGGACAGTTCTGATTCCAGACTCTCCCAGGCTTTCCAACTGAGCGTGGGAGGTGGCAGCTGGCCTGCGGGTGTCCCAGGTACAGAGAGCAGGCCCCGTAACCCGCTACTGCAAACAGCCCCTCCCGCTCACACCTGCTGCTGTTCCGGGTGTCAGACGTGTCGCCACCCACGTCCAGTCCTGGCACCTTTTCCTGGACCAGCTCTCCAGGAACCAGAAGTAGGTTACCGTGTTCTTGAACTGGAGAGAACCAAAGAGATCAACAGAGGGAGAAACCCCAACCCTGAATGATAAACTGTCTGCTCACTGCACGGGAGAGGGGAGGTGGCGCCCGTGCCCTGACGCCTAACCCCACTCTCCTGACAGGAGACGTGGCCACAGTCCCGGCAGCGGCTCCCTCGTAAAGTTTTCCAGGATCCGAGCCAAGGAACACCAGGTTAAAGTTGACAGAGAAGAAGGAGTGATCGGCACGTCCCTCTCGCCCCCGGCCACGAGGGGCACAAAGGTTACAGTCTTGGGGACGACAAATATGCTGCCTGACGAATATGGGAGGGACTTTGTGTCCTTTGACCTGGACACTGGGGGCCACAGCTCAGGATCGAGCTGGACGGCAGGAAAACCCAGGCACAGGGGTAACCCTGCCACGCCCACCTCCAAACCCCTTAGGTACAAGCACCTTCTAAAAACTTACTTTAACTTTTTCGTTGTGGGGGAGAAAATCGCACTTCAATCCTCCAGAGATAATTACCGCGAATCATTGGTTACCTTTTCTTGCCTCTTTTAACAATTTTCCCAAGAATACCTATGCTTATTTTCATATAATTACCCCTTACCTATTGTTTGTGTGTGTGTGTGTTTTATTAATCCTCACATGAGGACATTTCCCCATTGATTTTTAGAGAGAGTGGAATGGAAGGGGAACTACATAGAGAGAGAAACAACGATGTGAGAGACATCGATTGGGTTGCCTCCTGCGCGTGCCGGGACCGGGGCCAGGGATGGAGCCTGCAACCAAGGGACAAGCCCTTGACTGGAATTGATCCTGGGACCGTTCAGTCCGAGGGCTGACGCTCTATCCACTGAGCCAAACCGGCCGGGGCCTTTACATGTTGTTTTGCAACCTGCTTTTTCACTGAAAAGTACTGCAGGCCAATGCTTCCAGGTCAATGATATGCAGCATTTCACACTCCTCTACCGATAGCTACCTGGGCTAAGTCCAAGAAGCATCGTTGTATGTGCATCATTGTGCACTTGGTTATTTATCTCTCCAGAACAAGTTCTTCAAGGAGACACGGAAGCATCAGCAGGCTCACGCCTTTTTCAGGGTCTGGCCCACACTACCAAACTGTCAGCAGATGGACACTGAGCTGAGAGCGGAAGGATGTTTAAACAGAGAAGGGCAGCGTGGTGCAATGGGGAGATCACCAGCTTTCACTGTGTGATGGTGGGCAGGTGACTTGGCCTCTCTGAGCCTCTCTCTCTCTCCATCTGTAAATGGAAATGAACCTGCCTTTCATGGTTGTAAGCTTTAGAGACAATGGGTACAGAAACCTTCAGGGAGCGGTGCACTACATATCTCTTGAATGAATGAAATGAATTAATGGTTGGGTGGATGGAGGGATGACTTTTTTAAAAGGAGAGAAAGAAGGGAAAGAGAATGAGGAAGGGGCTGGCTCGTGGGAGAGGGTGGTCCCCTGAGGGAGTCCCAGGAGGAGAGCAGAGACCAGGATGCTCCGGGCTGAACAGAGGCTCTCTCTGCCCCATCAGGTTCTCTTCTGGGACCTGGTGGCTGGTGAGGACCTTGTCCCTGGTTCACAATGATGCCCCGAGGCCCGGAGATAGAATCCCATGTCCCACCCACAGTGGGACCCACCAGCCCCAGCTGAGCCCCTACCTCGAGGAACTTGCCATGATCCGGTGAAGGGACCCACGCTGCCTGCCAGCTCACATTTCTGAGCCCATGGGCCGTTGTCTCCTAAAAACCAAAAGGAGAAACATGGAAAGGTCAACAAACCAGTGGTCACTTTGGCTGAGTCTCTCTCTCTAGCCCTACATCCCTGGGCACAGCAGGGGACTGCATAGAAGAGGGACTTGTAAAATCAACTAGGACCCTGCCCTTGAAGAGCTGCTGGGCTTTCAAAGAGCAGGGTTCCTCCTCTGGCATCTTGAGGCGCCTGCCTTACGGACTTGGGCCTTTTATAGCTTTAGCAATCTCATTACCAATGCCATCAGCCCAGCCACGACTGACTGAGCACCTATGATGCGCCCGGGGCTTCACATACATGATCTCATACCCTCCAACATGCTACAGACTAGACCCCATGGTTAGCTTCTTCACTTTGCAGATGAAGAAACAGAGGTGTGTAGAGATCAACCTTCTCAGCAGTAGCGTACGGGTTCGAATCCAGGTGTCTACGTGACCCAGCGGCAGCGCTCTGACCCCCTGCCTCCTCCGACAGGGACCTGAGACCCACAGGGCTGGGTGGGGCCTCTGAATGGCCGGCCAGTTCAGCTCCACTCCGCCAGAGGACGGGACCTAGCGAGCTGGAGGCCAGTAGCAACTGGAGTCCCTGGGACCGGGAAGATGGTGAAGAGGGAGTCTAGAACAGTCTGAGCACTACACAGGTTCGCAACATCCAAGTTATTCATTAATTGAGCGCAACGCCCAGAGGGCCCTGATCAAGACTTAAGGGGCCAGGGGGGACCTGCTCTCTGTGCAAACCTGCCCGGGGGCTCGGCTTTGGAGGCCCCAAATGGACAGGTGCTCAGCATTCAACCACCCATCACCAGTGGGGCCTCAAGTTCAGAGGGAGCCCCCTGCCCGGCGGAAGACGATCACTTGACCAGACTCAGCCTTCAGGGCGCAGGTGCAGGCGCAGGCAGCCGTCAGCGCCCAGCGAGGCAGGCTGGGTGTTGCTACCTCACCTGTAAACCAGAGGAACGTATTTCCCTTTGCCGTGCGGTCAGCTCCGTCTTTGATCTGGCCCACCAGGCCGTCCATCTCCCGGAGGCCCGCAGCGTACGGCGCGCGGCCCTGTGGGTCTGCCGACAGCTGGGTCCTGGTTAGGGGCACGTGCATGTGGGCCAGGCCCACGTAGAGCAGGAAAGGTCTCCCGCTGGCGCTGGAACACAGAGCCAAGCGGTCACTCTCCAGAAATCTTGTCCTCTGTCTCTCCCGAGCCTCAGAGCAAAGCCCCAGAACACCTCCTCCCCACGTGCTCAGGGAGTGCATGTCCGTCTAGAACAGCGGTTCTCAACCTTCCTAACGCTGCGACCCTTTAATACAGTTCCTCATGTTGTGGTGACCCCCAATTTCATTGTTACAAATTGAACATAATTAAAGCATAGTGATTAATCACAAAAACAATATGTAATTATATATGTGTTTTCCGATGGTCTTAGGCGACCCCTGTGAAAGGGTCGTTCGACCCCCAAAGGGGTCTCGACCCACAGGTTGAGAACCACTGGTCTAGAACCTTCCTAGGATATGTGGAGATCATCTGATCAGCCAGTTAAAACCTGAGAGCAGCTCTGGCCGGTCTGGCTCACTGGTTAGAGCGTCAGCCCTCAGACCAAAGGGTCTGGGTTTGATTCCCAGTCAAGGGCATGTACCTGGGTTGCAGGCCCAATCTCCAGCAAGGAATATGCAGGAGACAGCCGATCAATGATTCTCTCTCATCATTGATGTTTCCATCTCTCACGGATCATTGTGCAGGCTGTTCCCTGCTTGGGAATGTCTTGCTGAGAGAGTGAATGGGAGCTTAACTCCCGCTCACCGTCCCCTGGCCCAGCAGGCCCTGGGGCCCAGGTCAGCACCCACCCGAGGGGGCGCCTTTTCCTAATTTGCAGGGAGATGCCGCACTGCAGTGGCCTGCCGGATACAGCTGGCTGGAATGTCAGGAATCCTGCAAGCCAGTTTTAAACATGACGGACATTTAACAGGAAGTCCAACCAGCTTACAATGAGATTATATTAAAAACAAAGGTAATACGTGCTCGTGATGTGTCACGTCCTAATCATTCTGCCGCATTTTACTGTTGTCTGTGCTCTGAGGTTTACGTCCACTGCATCTGTGTGATGGCAATACCACGGAACGGAGTGCTGCTCTCCTCCCTTCCCAACTCCACACCCAGGGACATGGCGCTGGGAGCTGAACCCAGCCCGGGAGACAGTCTTTATAAAGAGAGACGGGGGCATGTGCTACAAATGAGGCCTTTTTCCTCTGAGTGCCAGGTATTACACATGTAGCAGCTCATCACGACATATGGGCTGGGGGGAACGGGGGTCCCCATCGCCCACTCTTTGTCTCCGCCCTCATCACTATCCTCCACACGCCCAGCCGTCATCAACGTCCTACTAGCATCCCCGGCCAGAGGCTGAAAGGGGAGTGCAGTGATGACAGACATTACACGTGTGGATGGATGAAAAGCCCAGGCCTTTGGAGACCCGCATCCAAATTTCAAGAACTTTTAGTTCATGGCTGTCTGGCCCTGGGCGATTGACTTAACCTCCACGGTCGCCTTTTTATTAATAACTATAAATAATACAAGCTGGCAGTAGTGAGGACACGTGGTACCCAGAATGCACCTCTTCCCCTGTATCTTGATGCCACTTGAGAATCCATGAAGATGGCATCTTGCAAAAACCACACAAATTGGCTCCCTGGGGCCCTGAGCCCCGTGAGGCTCCTGTGCTGAGCAGAAAATAACGGAGCGTAGCTGGTGCTGGGGGGAGGGGGGGGAGCTGATCACAAGACAGTAGGATTCTGTTTTTGTTTATCCATAAGCACCGGCACAGAATGAGGCTAGGAGGACACGCCCCGCCTCTCTCCAGGGGTTATCTCTGTGACAGGGCATTCAGGGTGATTTTTCTGTTTGCTCACCTCTGTTTTCAGAAACTCCTAAAGGGAACCTATTATTTGTGTGGCCAAAGGAGTGGAGCGGCAAGCAGGGAAGAGAAAAACAAGATGCTAGAGGGGACATTTCAGGGGAGAAAGGACGGGATGGGCGTGGAGATGCACTGAAGATGAGGGCCCGGAGAAAATCCTGACCTGAAATTATAAACGGCAGGCAAGGGGCACCTACCTCTCAGGAAAGGTCCCGGCAGGCACCTGGCCGGGGAGAGCCAGGCAAGGAGGTGAGGCGGGGCTTCCCAGCTGGCAGGACGGCACTGGCTTTTGGGGATGGCCCCATGGGGTTGAGCAGACAGGGGTCCCTCCGGAATGGGCTGCTGCAATAGCCCCCCCCCCCACATTTCCCCATCCCCCTCTGGGCCTCCGTGTTACAGACAAGCTTCCGGAACCCGGACTGGATCTGTCGGTTCCGTCTGGAAACCCACGGGGCTACTGCAGCCTGCCGGGCGTCCAAGCAGGATGGAGGGTGTTAGGTGGGGGCTGGGTGAGGGCAAGATGAGGAGGGGCAGCCCCAGAGGGGGAGACAGGCCAGTAAGGAGAGCCCCTCAGGGGGGGGCAGGGCAAGTGGAAGAGGGACTCAAGATCTTGATGCGGGTCCTGGGCTCCAGGGCGTGGGCACCTCTAGGATCTACTGCCAAATGGTGAACACCCCGGAAACTGAACCTCCCCTCTGACTCCAGATACCCCTCGCTACTCCTCATACCTGTGCCCCACACCCTGATCCTTGTCAGGCCCTCGCCCCCTCATGAGCTTCAGTGCCCGACCCAGGCCCTGCAGGAGCAGAGGCCTGGCCAGCAGGGACGCGGGAGCCCACACCATCTGCTTTCTCCCTTGTGGTCCATTCAGAGCTTCGCCTGCTGCTTTCAAAAACCCAAGTCAAGGATTAGCTTTCAGCGTCGCTGCTAGAGGAAGGGTCTATATTCAAGTAAGGATCCAAGTCAAACATTCGAAGACGTCCTTGGGCTGCCCCTTGCCGAGGAGAGCAGGACCCCGCACTCTGGGGACCCTGGTAGTTCTGACAAACAAGTCCCGGTGGGGGCAGGGGTCGCAGGGGGAGGAGAGGGGCGGGGTGGGCAGGAGGAGCAAGGAGCACAGACCTGGGGGCCTTTTCTGCTGATTCTGAAAATCACAGAGGAATTGGAAAGTCACATCCTAAAGAAATCCGCATGCCTGAGGGTTACTTTCTGTCTGTTAAAAGCCAATGGGATTCGTGTGACTTTTCACTCAATAACCGGTGAGTAAGTGAGCAAACGCTTCACCTTTTTCATGAGATAAGTACAGTGTTCATTGATTGGTTTGTCCTTTAACTGATTCATGAACTGGTGAATGGACAGTATCGCACTCTTGCCCGGCCGGTGTGGCTCAGTGGTTGAGCGTCGACCTATGAGCCAGGAGGTCACAGTTTGATTCCCAGTCAGGGCACATGCCCGGGTTGTGGGCTCGATCCCCAGTGTGGGGCATGCAGGAGGCAGCCAATCAATGATTCTCTCTCATCATTGATGTTTCTATCTCTCTCTGTCCCTCTCCCTTCCTCTCTGAAATCAATAAAAACATATTTTTTTTAAAAAACGAGTATCACACGTTCTTCAAAGCACGCAGTAAACCGTTCCTAGACCCAGCCGGCTGCCAGCCCTGCCTGAGGAAGCTGTGATGCTGGCAGTGGAGCTTGCCCTCACCGGGAACAGGGGAGCCCAGGAGCTCGGGGAGCAACCTGAGGAACGTCCACCCCAGGCCTGGACAGTCCAAGGAGGACTGCTTTCCAGTTTGTTTCCGGGAGATGGGTGTGCACCCCCCTTGGCCGGACAGGGGAGCTCGCCATGGCTTTGTAGAGCTGAGGGAGGCCAGGGGGCATGGTGGCCGGGAGCCGGGGGTCGGGGGTCGGAGGCACTCGGGGCCAGAGGACTCCTCACCTGGCACGCTGGATGAACTGGGTGGCTTTCTCGGCGTACCTGTGCGCCAGGCCGCTCAGGTTCACGGGCTGCTCCACGATGCGCAGGTTCTCATACAGAGGAAGGGCCACGTCCGTGTAGCAGTCCCTGTCGGGGCTCCTGGGTGCAAACCGCAGACGGAGAGCATTCAGTCCCATGACCTAAGTGGCCCTCAGGTGGAGCCAGGTGCTTTCACACAGCGACGCACCCAACCACGAAACCCTTAATGGCCTGGCGCCGGGAGGTCTTTCCAGCCGGCCATCTCCTCCAAGTGTACAACCACCACCACGCCTTCTTCCATTCCCTTTGGAGAGAAAGACTTGTGAGCTAGAAACTTTATGAGTCCCATGTTGCTGGGAGAGAAACTGAGGTCTAAACAGGCTGCATTACTCAAGCGGAGCCCCACAGCCCATCAGTAGCCCAGCCCTGGCTTCTCCCACTGTCCCCCCTAAATGATGACTTGTCCGTGGGGTGCAACAACTTCATGAGGCACAACATCTGACAACAGAACGACAGATGGCCGGGGACGATGGTAAAATTTCAAACCATGTTTAGAGAGAATTTGGAGACACTTCAGCCATTGGGAAAAAATGGAGGTCAAGCCAATAGCCCCTCCAGGAAAAAACAAACGCAGCCCTTGGTCTTACTGACCTGCAGACGCCTCCGCAGTGTGGCCGAGGGAAGACTGGGCCAGGCATCGCCCTACTGGGCACCACAATGCTCATCTCAACGTCTGTCTCAAGTTTTTCAGCTTTTTATGATCTCGTTGCAACTCCATCATTTATACTCCCCCCCCCCCCGGCCCCCAGCTAGTCCTTTTTTCTATTTGATTTGTTAATTTTTAATTATTTTATTATTTTTATTGAATTTATATTGGTTAATAAAGTGATATAGGTTCCAGGTGTACAATCGCATAACACATCATCTGTCTATGGTACTGTGTGCTCATCACCCCAAGTGAAGTCTCCTTCCCTCACCATTTATCTGCCCTTTACCCTCTTCTACCTCCCCCCCCCCCCCCCGCCCCCATTTGATTTAACATGGATTTAAAAGGAACGGGCTGACAGATGTCACATGGCCACCGGTGATCCCCAGATAAGAAGGGCGGGGACATGCTCTATGGCCTCACTTCTCACACTGCAGTGTGCACATGGATCACCTGGCATCTTGTGAAACGCAGGCCTCGGGGTGGGGTCTGAACTTCTGCGTTTCTAGTAGGTGCCCAAGTGATGCCCACGCTGTTGGTCCAGAGACCACCCTTTGAGGAGCAAGGATCTAGAGGACACGGGCTCTGGACTGACTGAGTCTCCATCCCCACCTCCTATAGCTCCAGGGTGGCCTGGGCCCAGGTGCAGCCCAGACAAACCCGGGCCTCGCACAGCGGATTGCAGGTAAGTACACAGAGCGCCTAGATTGTCACAGCTTCTCAGTAAGCGGCCATTATTACACAAACGATTGTGCTGTTAATGAGCCAGCGAGATTGCTTTCCCCAAGCAGCTGAAATACCTGCGACCTTATAACCTCCGTGCACAGTCTGAACAAGCGGAGCACGTGGTGTTGTTGCTTTATTACCTGCATAAAGTGTATCACCTAGTTCTTTTTTGTTAATCCTCACCCCAGGATATTTTTCCATTGATTTTCAGAGAGAGTGGAAGGGAGGGGGAGAGGCAGAGAGAGAGAAACATCAATGCGAGAGACACACATCAACTGGTTGCTTCCCGCACACGCCCAGACCAGGGCTGGAGATCGAGCCTGCAACCGAGGTACGTGCCCTTGACCAGAATCCAACCCAGGACCCTTCAGTCCGCGGGTCGATGCCCTATCCACTGAGCCAAACCGGCTAGGGCAGTGATGGCGAACCTTTTGAGTTCGGCGTGTCAGCATTTTGAAAAACCCTAACTTAACTCTGGTGCCATGTCACATATAGAAATTTTTTGATATTTGCAACCATAGTAAAACAAAAACTTATATTTTTAATATTTATCTTATATATTTAAATGCCATTTAACAAAGAAAAATCAACAAAAAAAATGAGTTCGCGTGTCATAGGTTCGCCATCACTGGGCTAGGGCTTTATCGCCTTTTTCTGACCGTTAATGTATTGCAGGCTCATTACTGAATTTTGGGAAACGCAATGAGGAAGAAAAAAACAACAAAACCCTTAGTCCCACAACCAGAGTGAATGGCCCATTGTTGGCATGTTTCCTGTGGCATCTCCTGATGGGCTATAAAGGCATAAACACGGAGGCAGTTATGATCCCACTGTTGGTGATTGCTTCCTCCTTTCTTCACTTACATCGTGAGCATTTCCCCAGTTCACTGACTATGTGTGTAAATTAGGGCCCCGTGGAGTTCCAATGTCAGATGCAGGCTTATCTGCAGCTGGGTGGGGGTGGGGGAGTGGGGGGAGCTTGTAAGGAGCCCTGTGCACTTCCTCTCTGGGCCAGGTCGTGGCCCAGGAGCAAAGCCAGCAGGCAGAGAAGGAGGGAACCCTACCTGTGAGACCGTGGCGGTGCCGGGCTCTGCCCAGCAGAGCTAAACAGTCCAAGGAACCCGGCAAATTCCCATAAGGAAATTCTGTGAAATTCTGTTGGCCTCACCTTTGCTAAAAGTTTTCTTGCTCTTTTTCGCTGTCTTTTTGTTTTCTTTTGTTGTTAATCCTCACCTAAGTGTATTTTTCCCCTTGCTTTTCAGAGAGAGTGGAAGGAAGGGAAGGAGGGGCAGAGAGAGAGAAACACTGATGTGAGAGAGACAGACACATCAACTGGTTGCCTCCCACAGGCACCCCGACCGAGGACAGGGAGCGAACCCACAACCCAGGTACGTGCCCTTGAATGCGACCCTTTCGTGCATGGACCGACGCTCTAACCACTGACCACATCGGCCAGGGCACTGTTTTGCTGTCTTAACTGTCCCCTGTCAGCCCCTCTGACTTGCTCCTGATGGACCACACCCCCAGGACTTGTGGCTCTGGATCCCACAGCCAATTACCTTGATGGTCCCTCGCCCCGGGGGCATGCCGGGCAAGGAGGGAGGTTGTAGCCGGGGCTATCTGTGCAGCCCATATCGTGGCTGTATGGGATTCCGAAGTAGTAATCAAACCCTGGAAGAGAAGCAACTGGTTAGCACCCCCACTCAGCTTCGGTTCCAGGAGCCTACGTCCTTACACCAGGACAAAAATGTAATCTTCCCTGATTTAATACCGCAGTGCTATGGAGGATGTAATTAAAAGAGGATTTGATGAATATCCCTTTGTAGTCTGCAAAGAAAACACTGCTGGGTTCTGGATGGAAGGCAGATCTGGGATACAGCCTGTGATTAGTTAACCCAGAGTGGGAGGAAGTGGAGAGAATGATTAAGCCCCGACCATCCCCCGTACAGTTACTGACACATTGGGGAAGTATTTGCTGAAAATCTACTACATGCATGACACGGGTAAGGGACAAAAGAATAAATTCTGCCCTCAAAATACTTCCCATCTGAAGAGAATGTAAGATACAGAGATTAAGCTGTAGGAGATGGAGAATCCATAAGACAATAAGAGCGATTAGGTCAGGGGTGGGGACCCCCTTTTCTGCCAAGGGCCATTTGGATATTTATGACATCATTCAAGGGCCATACAAAATTATCAACTAAAAAAATCAGCCTGCTGTATTTGGTCAGACACATATATTTGTGGTTAATCCTCACCTAAGGACATTTTTCCCCTTGATTTTCAAAGAGAGTGGAAGGGAGGGAAGGAGGAGCCCAGAGAGAGAAACATGGATGTGAAAGAGAACATTAAGTCACTCCTAATGCCTTGTCAGGGCCAGACCAATGCCTTTGCGGGCCTAACATGGAGCACGGGCCACATGTTCCCCACCCCTGGGTTAGAGGAAGGCGTTACCCCCAGGTGCTGGGCGTGGGTGGGTGGGGGCAGAAATCTCAAAGTGCTTCTAGGAAGAGCGGGCATTTCAGCTAAACCTCAGAAGGCTGGCGGGCCTGGGTCTGGGGTACCGAGGTGGGGAAGGGCGGGGGTGGGGGGGTGAGGATGTGAGTTAAATTGAGGCATGAATATCCGTGTGGACCTTTTTTTCTGAGATCCTTCCTCATCCTGTCTCTTCTCCAACCCCAGCTTTAGTGTGAAGTTTCCCATGGGATTTCTCTACTTCTCCCCCAAATCCCACCGGGCCGGGGTCCCTGCTTTGGTGACCCTAGATGGGTCTGGACCTCACGTCAGCCATGTCCCCAGAGATGCAAGGAACCAGGTCAGGGAGAAGAGTGGGGCTCGCGATGAGGAGCCAGGGGGCAGACAGGAACCGAGGAGAGGGGACAGGGAGGAGGATGTGAGATCGAGGGGAGCCCAGGCACCCCAAATGCACCCAAGGGATACTGTGAACGAAGATATCCTAACTCAGGAGCAGGATGGCTTAAAGGTTATTCCAGTCCCTTTACACAGAGGTCCTTATTTCCTGTTTCCCAGGTATCAAAGCCCCCAAAGAGTTCTTACCACGGAAGTTGGGGTGATAAGAGCTGTGATGCCCAAGGTGCCATTTGCCTGCAGGAAAACGAGAAAGAGACTTTCAGAGGCATCTCATGGGGGCCCCAGCCCCTCGGGGAGCTGATCACACTCTCAGTTCTCCATCAGCGTTGCCCTTTACTGGGTTCCGGCTGGAAGGCCAGATTTGTGGCCTGCAAAGTGATGAGGCTGCAAACACAGTGCCAAAGCCAAGCCCTGCTCTGTGGGACCCAGAGGGAGTCCGCAGGGAGACAGAAAGCGAGCAAGGGTGACTCAGCACCTCCACAGGAGAACGCACAGTGAAAGGGGAAGACGAGCCGTTCCTGGGAGCCCAGCGAAGCCAGCAGGCCGTGGTCCCAGTGCCCACAGCAACCCCCCATAGCCAGCTGCACCCGCCACCCTGCCCTCCTGGGCTGGGGCTCTGCCAAGGGTGCAGGTGCATGCCACACAGTCTCAGAGACGCCTGGGTCTCGCCTGGTTGCATCATCTTTTCTGGCCAACGCCACAGCCTGTAGGCAGGGGTTCTCAACCTTCTGGCCCTTTAAATACAGTTCCTCATGTTGTGACCCAACCATAAAATTATTTTTGTTGCTACTTCCTAACTGTAATGTTGCTACCGTTATGAATCGTCATGTAAATATCTGATATGCAGGATGGTCTTAGGCGACCCCTGTGAAAGGGTCGTTCGACCTCCAAAGGGGTCGCGACCCACAGGTTGAGAACCGCTGCTGTAGAGCATGAGCAGGAAACGGCCTCCCCGCTGCGGTTCAAGTGCACAGACACCTACCAGCTGCCAACGACGAAACTCCTCGCTTTGTCGATGCCTAAGGTCTGGGGTGGGTGGGGGGAGGGGAGACTGGTGATGCAAGCCGAGTGCTCGGATAATGCTGGACCTCTCTGACCTGCTCATTCTGCTCTGAGTAAAGAGCCCGGGGAAATCACTCACAGGCAAAGGGGCCGGGAATGAACGTGGTTCAAAGATCTGAACAGTGAACCCTCACTGCGGCCCGTTTGCCAGCACCCGTCCCTCCTACTTCACGCCTGGGGGCAGGAGGCAGGATTCCCACAGGACCCAGCTCTTGGAGAGTCGGAATAAGAAGCACCGGCAGCCTGAGGAGGATGCGGACGGCTGGGTTGCCTCGGCCCCGGGAGGAAAGACTAGCAATGAAGCAAAGCACGAGAACAAGTTGGACCAGACACACCTGTCTCATCTCCCCGCTCCGGGCCAGGCAGCGCTGAACAAGTCTCCACACCTGCCTGAAACTCAGCTTCCTCCCTGGACAGTGGGGCAAACCATACCCAGGGCACGACCATACCTGGAGCAAATAAACACTTAGCCCAGTGCCTGGCACAAAGTAAAGACTAAGTGAGAGGTGCTTCGTTAGGAAGGAGAGCAAGCTGGTGGTCAGTGTGGCAGACGCTGCTGTTTGCCTGCCCTACACCCATGCCCCCACTCATCCCGCTCACAGACTGTGGTTTGGGGAACCTGGGGTTGGGAACCTGTGCCACCCATTATAATCCTGACCCCCCATTTCCCAGACTTCCTTGCAATGCAGAGTGGCCATGTGACCCAGCTCCGGCCAATAAGGTGCAAGTGCACTTCTGGGGCTGAAGAAAGATAAAAGGGAACAAGTGGGCTGGCACTGCCTCCCTCCCTTTTTCCTTCCTTGAAGCCAAATGATGGCGAATGCTCTGAGGTTGCTCTACTGCAACCAAGAGGCAACATGCAGGAGGACAAATGCCAACAGAGTAAGGACAGCAGAGCAGAAATGGTTTCTCTGAGTGGCTGAGCCAATAGAAGCAATTGCTTACCCCTATGCTTATTAGAATGAGAGGTAAATAGCTCAGATTCCCTTTAGCCCACTGTTAGGTCTTCACAATTACTTACAGCTGAAAGCATTCCTAGCTTATACAGCAAGAAATCAACAAAGAAGCAGACAGGAGCAGAGGAGGCGGCGGCGTGTTAGGGCTACACAGAGGCGAAGCAGCCAGCCCAGTGCAGTGGAACCTCCATTCTCAAACTTAATTCGTTCGGGAAGGCTGCTCGAAAACCGAATCACGTTTTCCCCATTAGAAATAATGTAACTGAATTAACCAGTTCCAGACCCCCAAATGATCCTCTGCTTTAATCTTTCTCACATACAGTACATGCCTAATGTTTATTCTATAAATAAGCACTTTGAAAACAAAAAGGACATGAAATGCACATGAAAATAAATGAAAAGTCAACAAAACGGAAATGAAATGTATAGTAAAAAATGAAAATGTATAGTAATAAGCAGCAACGAAAGCAAAAAAACACACAAATATTCACAGCACAGTTTGCTGAGGTGTTAACAACATGAGGTTTAGTGGTAAGCTGACTCATACTCCTGCATTCTCTCCTTTGTCACCTGAGAGACACGCGACTGATCATAAGGTATCAGCATGAAAGGGTTGTTGGGTTGAGAAGCGAATTGTTCGAGATAGGAGACATTCGAGAACCCAGGTTTGACTGTAAATGCACTGGGAGATGGGGTTGGACTGTGGGGCACCGATGTTACCGATCATCCCGGTGACGTAGCCAGCCTGCTTCAGCACCTCGGCCAAGGTGGTCTCGTTGAGCGGAAGGCCCCCCACAGAGGTGACTGCAAAGTTGTGTGTGACTCCGTTGCGCAGGCCCAGCCGGCCGGTGAGCAGGGCGGCCCGGGAGGGTGAACAGGTGGAAGCAGCTGCGTGGAAATCCACAAACCTGCACGGAAAGGAAAGTCATCGAGATCTCTCCAACCACAGAAAGCCAGGCCAAGAGAAAAGTCAACTCCCACTCTGTTCTGGGGATTCCAGTGCTGGGAAAAAGCTCACCCAGTAGAACAAGTAAAGAAAAGGAAGCCCAGAGAGGTAAGGTGACGAATCCAAGGTCACACAAGTCATTCCAATCGATACAATCCAACATATTTAGAGGATCCTCTTTATCCAAAGACTAGAGGCCCGGTGCATGAATTTGTGCAAAGGTCGGGTCTGGCCACCTGCCCCCCCCCCATCAGGGTGGGGGCAGCGATCAGGGGTGGGGCTGGCTGATGGGAGGGGCCTCAG